GGAGCACAAATCAGTGTCGTCGTCAGAGACTCGGCACTATGAGCGGTGTTTTCTTTGTATACTCCAAAACAGACATCTTGAGGAGGGGTGAACAAGTACCGAGACAACTGACGTATCTTTTCTATAGGAGTTTCATACACCCAGACCCAAAACCTTGAAAAAAATAAAACTGTTATGACATAAAGCGCGACATTTTCAGAACAAATTAACTAACTTGTGCATTGAAAAATTAGCATCACACGAAAAATGCTTTTAGGTTTGAACTTTAAAGCTTAAATTTGAAACCGTAGTTCATCTAATAGGGAAGCTTAGAGCTCAATGAACGATTGCGCTCCCTAAATAGTAGATAGTTACATGGTATTGCTTTCAAAGAATTGCCTTCAGTACTACAGAAATTACAAAATCACTGGATCAGACTGTGATATTAGGTCAGCAGATATGCCAAGACTTGGAATAGCCGTTGCCGCTTTCTGTTAAATACTCAAAGTCAATGAATTTAAAGGAAAACTTTAAAGTTTATCCAGTATCTAGATAAATCGATTGTATATTTTCTTTAGTCGGATCTGATTTGCAAAGTTTGTAAATGGAACAATTAACGAGTTACATATTAAGCTGTGATTTCATACATATTTTGATCCACAGCTTCCATGGAAAACTCTTTTTTGTCCTTTTTGTCTAAACCTAGCGTTCTGATTGGCTGAGCTACTAGTGGTCTATTAGTGATAGACCACTAGTAGTGAAAAGTGCCTGTTTTGGACCAAAATAATGACGGTCAACTCGCTAGCCTGCAGAGCAGGCGTTCTTGTGATGGGTTTAAGGAAGAATCGGAGTTTTGGGGTTCCTGTTTCAACTACGTTTCTTCCCCTTCGCTTTCTTTTTTGCTCGGTTTCAATTCTCGCTCGTTCCAAATTTACAGAGTTCCCCTAAAACCCCGCTTTTTCCCCAAACCTACAAGATCGCCTGCTTTGCAGGCTCTCAACTTGCATTTTCAACCTATTTTCAAAATTGCTTGTATACATTTATTTGTAATTGGCCGACCTTTTTTTTTTTAAAGAAAGAATAGAATAAAGAATACAACTTCCATTTCATTATGAAATCATTGTGCTTAAGCAATAGAAAACTTTTTCCGTGTTTACATAGCCTGATAGCAACACGAGGGGAGGTTGGGAGAATTCGAGAATTCGAGAATTCTCCCAACCCCCCGAGTGTTGCTATCAGGCTATTCTCTGGCACGGCGGCCACGAGGCCACTGAGTTTTTACCTTTCGGGGTATTTTTATAGGTTTCATAGTCCCCCTTTTATGTTTATAAAGCTTCTTTAGAAAGTAAATTACTTCGAATGAGTTGTACTCAGCCTCTAGTTATAACTAAAGTTTATTTGTATACCGCCGTGGCCAGTTACGGTAAAAACTCAAGCCAGCAAACTCAGCGTGTAAAAAATCTCAGCAAGACATTTCTTAGAACGACAATCGACGGCAAAATTGGAATAATTCTCAAGGATATTTTTGTTTTATTGCAACGGGACTGGACAACAAGGATTCGCAAGGATTTACAAGGAATACAAGGACAAAATTACGGACATGGAAGGCGAAAGAAAGGGATTTATTAACGTTGAAAAGGAATATTCTACGGCACATTTTGTGGAGTCAAATGTCAACTCGGCGACGGAATCTCCACCGAAGGGAACTCCAACAACGGCCTCTGCGACTAAACAAAACAGCCACGATCCAGAAAAGGTTCAAGGTTCACTGGATGCGGAAGGAAAGGGTTTGGAAAGGAATGCTGAAGAGCTTGGAGTTGGTGCGAGAAGGAAAACTTCGAAGAAAAAAGGTAAACAATATGAATTAGAGAACTTGAAGGAGAATAGAACATCGGCTTTACGACAAGTGACAAGGCAGATGAATAAAATTAGACCACTGCTTCATGACTTTAATAATTTTGAGTCTGTGTCAGGCGAGCAGAAGTTTTGAACGGTTTGATTTCTAAATTACGAGATGCTCATGACAATTATCTGAATTCCTTGGAAAACGACGAAGAGGTCGAGGATGCTGTTACGTAGTTTGACACTCACGATGGAGCTATCTTTAAGTTTAAACAAACAGTATGTGAATACATGTCAAAAGCTAAAGGTGTGTTATTTGAAATTAATTCCACTACTTCAAGGGGGTCTCGTCATTCCTCGAAAAAATCTGGGCGTTCTAAGCATTCCGTTTCCTCATCAATGTCTTCGAAATCAAGGTTAATCGAAACACGCGCTAAGATCGCAGCATTAGAGGTCGAAGCGGCGTTTTTGAAGGAAACCCAAGCGCTTAAGATGGCTTCGGAAGAACTAGAGTTAAAAAAGGGCTTAGCTCAAGCGAAGAAGGAAGAACGAATCTATGAGCAAGCAAACGAAGATGATATGTTCTCAACCCCTACTTTAGCGCGTGGGTTGCCGCGCCTCTCAATAAGTGTGATACCAACTAGTGGTGACAGTGATCCCCTCAACCATGAAGCTTCGGCAAGCACTAAGCCTACAGAGAGTCTGGGTCTTCCTGTTCACACCAGCGTTGCACATAACCCGCCACACAGTCATACAACCCCTACCAGTACGGAGCCCTAGGCGAGCCAGGGAATGGTTAGTGGTACCTCAAGCACAGCCGTAGTTTCAAGCTCACCTGCACCCATAACCCCCAAGAATGTGCCATTAGGGGTAAGCCAGACAACAGTTAAGGGCGTGTCCTCAGGTTCAAACATAATGTCAAGTCCACGTGCACCATAAACCCCCAAGAGTGTACCAGTAGGGATAAGCCAGGCAACAGTTGGGAGTGTGTCTCCAAGTACCACCGTAGTGTCAAGTTTACCTGCTTCTATGAGCTCCACGGGCTTACAGTTAGGGGTGGGCTAGGGAACGTTACATGGAAGCCGCGCAAGCTCATCATTTGCGTACAGACCGCCCCTCCACACTAGCCCTGCACAAGGTATAGCATATCAAGCGTCTCTTCAAGGTATCCCTCCAGTGTTAGGTAGGAGGTCAAGGGTTTGACAACTTTGGTCAGCCCTTACAGCATCGTCCCTTTGATATAATGGGAGCAAGTATGACACCAAGCGCATATCCACCGTATATACCGAACAACACATATCAAGAAATAGTTGACATACAAAGGAAAGAAGCAGAATTGTCCGAAACTATCGCCACCCAGCAGGCAAGGAGCATGCTGCCAACGCACAAGCCTCCCACGTTTTCCGGCGACGCAATGGAATTTCCATCGTTCTTAACCGCCTTTGAATCATTAATTGAGTCAAAGGTGGAAGACTCTGTTGAAAGACTTTACTTCCTTGGTCAATACACTACCGGAAGGGCCAAGGAAGTAATAAGCGGTTGCCTGCAGAGGAAAACCGACCATGCGTACGATGAAGCTAAGAATCTCTTACAGCGACAATTTGGTGATCCCTTCAAAATTGCTAGCGCGCACATTAACAGTCTGTCATCCTGGCCGCAGATCAAGCCGAACGAAGGCCTCGCCCTTCAAGATTTTGCGCTTGCCCTAGAACAAGCGAAATCGGCCATGAAGGGAATGTCGCACACGGACGATCTCAACACTGCGCAAGTACTACGCCAATTGTGGGAAAAGCTACCGCGTCATCTGCGCAGCAAGTGGGCCGAAAGGAACAGTAAAACTAGAAGTATGAAGGGAAGAATGGCCGACTTAGAAGAATTTACTCAATTTGTGCGCGAGCAAGCAGAGTTAGCCACTGACCCAGTGTTCTCAGAGGAAGGTGTAACCAAGCTGTCTCTTGAAGACAAAGACAAACCCACTCGCACGACGTTCGGAAGAAGACCTAAGAGAGTAAAGGGTTCAAGTTTTGCGACGGATCTGACGGAGAGAAACAAGTACAAGCCGAACGTTTCTTGCGCCCTTTGCGACAAGCATCATGATTTGAAAGACTGTGAACAGTTCTTGAAAAAACCTCTTAGCGATCGACGTGACTTTATGAAGGAAAAGAAACTGTGTTATGGTTGCTTTAGCAACCAACATGTCGCAAAGAATTGTAAAGATAGACTGTCATGTAAAACGTGCAGCAAGAAGCACCCAACATCTATGCATGATGATGACTGGACAAGTAAGACAAAGAACCAAAGCGAAAAGAGCCAACCTAAAGAAACCCCTCGAGTTAGTAACAAACGTGCGGATGTCTGTAGCGTCACGGAAGCTGGAGATATACCCGTGAACCTGAGTGTGCTACCGCTATGGCTGTCTCATGAGAACAATCCATCAAACAGAGTAAATGTCTATGCACTGCTGGACAATGCCAGCGGTGGAACGTTTGTAAAGGAAGAGCTGGCACAGAAGCTGGGCATAGAAGGAAGCGAGACTGAACTTCTACTGACAACAATACAAGGAACGGAAACCGCGTCATCGAAGGCGATTAACGGATTAATTGTGACTAACCTCACGGATGAAGACGTAAGCTTAGAATTACCTAGAACTTTCACTATGCAGGTCATTCCAGCAGACCGCAGTGAAATACCAAGACCTGATGTAGTAGGCAAGATCGATCATCTAAGAGAAGTGAGCAAGGAGATTCCACCCTACATGGAAGAAGTGGAGGTAGGACTCTTAATTGGTTTGAACTGTCCAAGTACGCTACGACCAAGAGACGTCGTTTACGGAAAGGACCCCGAACCATATGCTGTACGCTCACTACTGGGATGGTACATCAACGGGCCTATCAATTCTTCGAAGTGCAACAGTCTTCACTGTAACAGAATTCTACTGGACAAGCAGATGGCATCTACGACCGCCAAAGGTTACGTTGTGGCACAGAGGACAGTAAAGGAACGGATAACGCCACAATCGGTAGAACGAATGTTTGAGTTGGACTTCTCTGAAATAGAGAAAGGAACTGCTATGTCACGCGAAGATAGGAAGTTTTATCAAACAGTTGAAGACGGGATTGTTCATCTTGAAGACTCGCACTACGAGATGCCTCTTCCGCTGAAGGATCGGAACATTAAGCTACCAAACAACCGCGTACAAGCAGAGAAGCGTTTGGAGAGTCTAAAGAAGCGACTAAAGTCAGATAACAAGTACTACACGGATTACTGCAACTTTATGTCCGAGATCATCTTTAAAGGCTACGCTCGCAAAGTCGACACTAATCTTGAAACCAAAGATGGAAAATTCTGGTACCTGCCACACCATGGTGTGTACCATGCTCAAAAACCAACGAAGGTGCGTATCGTGTTTGATTGTTCGGCTAGATACGAAGGACAATCTCTAAACGACAATCTCCTTCAAGGACCGGATCTGACCAGCAAGTTAATTAGCGTCTTGACCAGATTCCGACAAGAGAGATTCGCGTTTATGACGGATATCGAGAAGATGTTCTTCCAAGTGAAGGTGAGAAGAGAAGACCAAAGCTTCCTCAGATTCCTATGGTGGCCCGACGGAGACACGGAGAAAGAACCAGAAGAGTACTGTATGACAGTACACTTATTCGGTGCGGGATCGTCACCTGCCTGTGCTAATTATGCCCTTAGACGCACGGCAGACGACAACGAGTGTGAGTTCGGTGCTGAAGTTGCCAACACGCTAAGAAAGAACTTCTACGTTGATGACGTTCTTAAATCCGCACACACGGAAGACGAAGCTATTGAACTAGCGAAGAACGTTAAGGAGGTCTGCGCAAGAGGCGGATTCAATCTGACCAAGTTCGTCGGTAACACGGAACGCATCATTGATTCGATCCCGCAAGGAGATAGAGCTGAAAACGTAAAGAACCTCGCTTTGGGTCAAGACAAGTTGCCCATTGAGAGGGCATTAGGAGTCCATTGGTGCATCGAGTCTGATGTTTTTAAATTCCGAATTCAGCTGAAGGACAAACCCTGTACACGGAGAGGGATCCTCTCCACGATCAGCTCTGTTTACGATCCCTTGGGTCTCATCGCGACTGTAGTGATGGTCGGGAAAAGAATCTTGCAAGACATCTGTTATACTAGTGACTGGGACGAACCAGTTGACGACGCCACAAGAAGCAGATGGGAGAAATGGCGGAGTGAGCTTCATCTATTCGAGCACCTAGACGTACCAAGGAGCTTCAAGCCAGAAGGATTTGGGAACATTGCTTCATCTCAACTTCATAATATGTCCGATGCCTCGATGAACGGATACGGATAGTGCTCGTACCTACGTCTAAAGGATGAAAATGGTAAAGTACACGATTCTTTTGTCATGGGCAAGGCCCGAGTAACACCAAGAAAGTCTGTGAGCATCCCGAGACTGGAGCTAGCTGCAGCTACCGTATCCGTGATGATTGCTGATGCCATAAAGGAAGAACTTGAGTACGCAGAGATTGAAGATCATTATTGGACAGACAGCAAGGTCGTCCTCGGGTACATTAGCAAAGAATCCAGAAGATTTCATGCTTACGTAGCGAATCGGGCACAAGTAATTCAAGATCACACCGATACCTCACAATGGCGCTACGTCGAAACAACATCAAACCCAGCAGACGAAGGTTCAAGAGGAATGTCAGCGAAAGAATTCATAGAGAAATCGAGGTGGATCAAGGGACCTGAATTCCTGAAAGAGGAGGAAGATAAGTGGCTGAAAGAGGAAACG